AAACGTGGGCTTGAAATATCTCCTCAAGAGCCTGATTTCAATTCTTTTGGCTATATAACAAGAAGTGAGTTATTTTGCCCATTTTTAAACTGAGTTTTTTTGTTTTTTGGTTGTTGAGTTTTAAGAGTTCTGTGTATATTTTGGATACCAGTCATTTATCAGATATATGTTTTTCATATTTTTTTCTTCTATTCTGTGGCTTGTCTTTTCATTCTTTTATCCATGTCCTTCAAAGAGCAGAAGTTTTTACTTGAGGAAGTCCAACTTACTGATATTCTCTTTCATGGATTGTGCTTTTATTTACTTATTTTTTCTTTATATATTTATTGATTGTTTAGAGAGGGGAAGAGAGAGATAGAAATATCTATGTATGTGAGAGAGAAACATTGATTGGCTGCCTCCTGCATGCCCCCTACTAGGAATCAAGCCTGCAGCCCAGGCACGTGCCCTGACCAGGAATCGAACCAGGACCTCTCAGTCCATGGGAGACCACTCAGTCCACTGAACCACACTGGCCAGGCCATGGATCGTGCTTTTAGTGTATTATTTTAGATCACCTACACTTTCTTTCAAGGTGTCTTACAGAAATGTTATACTTTTGCATTTTACATTTAGATCTAAGATTAATTTTGACTTAATATTTGTGAAAACTGTAAGGTCTTCCAAAACAGCACCAGACGCAGATGAGTTCCCTGGTGAATTTTACCAAACATTTAAGGAAGAAATTTCATAGAATCTCTTTCAGAGGATAAGAGCAGAGGCAATACTTCCTAACTCATTCCATGAGGCCAGCATTACCCTAATACCAAAACCAGATAAACATTACCAGAAAAGAAAACTAAAGACCAAGATCTTTCATAAACATAGATGCAAAAATCCTCAACAAAATACTAGCAAATCAAATCCAAAAAAGTATAAAGGAGTTATACACCACAACCAAGTGAAGTTTTTTTCAGGTATGCAAGGCTAGTTCAACATTTGAAAATCCATTAATGTAACTCATTGTATAAACAAGCTAAAAAAGAATCACATGGTACTATCGAGAGATTTAGAAATGCATTTGACACAATCCAGCACCCATTCATGATAAAAATCCTCAGTAAACTAGCAGTAGAGGGGAACTTTCTCAATTTATTAAAAACTATGTATAAAAAAATCTACATCTAACATCATACTTGGGGGTGACAAACAAAGCTTTCCCACTAAGATCAGGTACAAGGCAAGGATGTCCCCTCTTGACACTCCTGTTCAACATCATACTGAAATTCCTTGCTAATGCCATAAGGCAAGAAGAGGAAGTAAAAGGTATGCAGATTGAGAAGGAAGATACAAAACTCTCTTTGTTCACAGATTACATGATCATCTATGTCAAAAACCCAAAGCAATTGACCAAAAAACTCTTGGAACTAATAAACGATTATAGCAATGTTGCAAAATACAAGGTTAACATACAAAACTTAGTTGCTTTTCTGTATACTAGCAAAGAACAAGTGGAGTTTGAAATTAAAATACAGCCCTGGCCGGTTTGGCTCAGCAGTTAGTGCGTTGGCCCGCGGACCAGAGAGGTCCGGGTTCAGTTCCCGCTAAGGGCACGAACCTCAGTTGCAGTTTGTCCCCGACCCAGTTGGGGTCATGTGGGTGGCAGCCACTCGGTGTGTGTCTCTCACATTGATGTTTCTCTCTCTCTCTTCTTCCCTCTCTCCCTCCAACTCTATCTGAAGATAAGTGCAAAAAAAAGGATAAAAAAAAAAAGCAATGCCATTTATATTAGCACCCCCAAAAATGAAATACTTAGGTATAAATCTAAAATATGTTTAAGATATATGTGAGGAAAACTATAAAACTCTGATGAACAAAATCAAACAAGAATTAAATAAATGGAGAGATATTCTATTTCCATATTCATAGATAGGAAGCCATAACATTGTCAACATATCAGTTAGTTCTTCCCAAATTAATCTATAGATTGATTCAATATAATTTCAATAAAAATTCTAGCAAGTTAGCCTGGCCGGTGTGGCTCAGTGGTTGAGCGTCAACTCATGCACCAAGAGGTCGTTGGTTCGATTCCTGGGCAGGGGACACACCCAGGTTGTGGGCCCAGTTCCCAGTGGAAGACATGCAGGAGGTGGCCAATTGATGTTCTCTTATCAATGTTTCTATCTCTCTCTCCCTCTCCCTTCTCTCTAAAATCAATAGAGAAAAAAAATTTTTTTTAAATTCTAGTAGTTATTTACGGATATTGACAAACTGATTGTAAAGTTTTTATGGAGAGGCAAAAGACCAGAGTAACCGACATAATATTAAAGAAGAACAAAATTAAAGGACTGATACTACCCAACTTTAAGGCTTGCTATAAAATTATACTTAATCAAGACAGTGTAGTTTTGGTGAAAGAATAGATAGATATAGATCAATGCAAGAGAATGAAGAACCCAGAATTAGTCCCCTATAAATATAGTCAACTGATCTTTGACAAAGGAGAAAAGGCAATACAATGGAGCAAAGATAGTCTCTTCAACAAATGGTGCTAGAACAAGTAGACGTCAACATGGGGGAGAAAAACGAATCTAGGCACAGAACTCACACCCTTCACAAAATTAACTCAAAATGCAAAACTATAAATTTCCTAGAAGATAACATGGGAGAAAACCTGTATGACCTTGGGTGTATTGATGGCTTTTTTGGATAACACCAAGGACATACATGAAAGAAATCATTGATAAGCTATACTTCATTAAAATTTAAAATGTCTGTCCTGACCGGGTAGCTCAGTTGGTTCGAGTGTCATCTCGATATACCAACATTATGGGTTTGATCCCATCAGGGCACATACAAGAATCAATCAATCGCCCTGGCCGGTTTGGCTCAGCGGTTGGAGCGTCGGCCTGTGGTCCAGAGAGACCCGGGTTTGGTTCCCACTAAGGGCACGTACCTCGGTTGCAGTTTGTCCCCGGCCCTGGTTGGTCGTGCGGGTGGCAGCCACTCGATGTGCCCCTTCACATCGATGTTTCTCTCTCTCTCTCTCCCTCCCGCTCTATCTGAACAAAAAAATGGAAAAATGTCCTCGGGTGAGGATAAAAAAAAAAAAAAAAAAGAATCAATCAATCAATCATAAATAAGTGGAACAACAAATCGCAAATTGGTGTCTCTCTCAAAAAAAATTAAATTAAAATTTCTGCTCTGGAAAAGACAATAATAACCTGGTCAGTGTGGCTCAGTGGTTGAGTGTCAACCTATGCACCTAGAGGTCGCCAGTTCAATTCCTGGTAAGGGCATATGCCCAGGTTATTCCTGGCAAATCCCCAGTGGGAGGCATGCAGGAGGCAGCCAACCAATGTTTTTTCTTATTTTTATTTTATTTATTTATTTATTTTTTATCCTCTCCCGAGGACATTTTTTGATATTTTGTTCAGAGAGAGGAGGAGAGAGAGAGAGAGAAACATCGATGTGAAAGGGACACATCGAGTGGTTGCCACCCACACGACGCAACCAGGGCCGGGGACAAACTGCAACTAAGGTACATGCCCTTAGCGGAAACCGAACCCAGGTCTCTCCGGACCGCAGCCGCACCGCAGACCAACACTCTAACCGCTGAGCCAAACCGGCCAGGGCTAACCAAGTTTCTTTCTCATCGATGTTTTCATCTCTCTCCCCCTCTTCCTTCCTCTCTCTCTAAAATCAATAAAAATATATTGCAAAAACATGTTCACACAAAAAGCAGCAAAAAGATGTTTATAGCAGCTTTATGCGTAGTTGCCAAAACATGGAAGCAACCAAGATGTCTTCAGTAGGTAAATGGATAAATAAACTGGTACATCCAGACAGTGAAATATTATTCAGAGCTAAAAAGAAATGAACTATCAAGCAATGAAAAAACATGGAGGAAATTTAAATGCATATTACTAAGTAAATGAAGCCAATCTGACAAGGCTTTATACTGTATGAGTCCAACAATATGACATCCTGGAAAAGGCAAAACAGTGTAGTCAATAAAAAGATCAGTGGTTGCTGAGGGAGGGGAAGGATGAATAAGCAGAGTACTGAGGATTTGGGGGAGGGCAGTGAAAATACTCTGTATATATTATAATGATGGGTATATGTCATTATACATTTGTCCAAACCTATAGAATGTACAACACCAAGAGTGAGCCTTAAAGTAAACTATGGACTTTGGGTGATCATGATGTGTCAATGTAGATTCATCCTTGGTTACAAAAAAATAGTACTACTCTGGTGAGTGATAGATAATGTAGGCAGCTATGCATGTGTAGGGGCTTATCATTTCCTAATCAAAATAGAATCTTTTGCTAATATACATAGCCTCTTGGGGGCATAAAAATGCTGGTGGGAAATTGAGAGCTTGGCCCACCAGCCCTGTGTTCTGCCTGTGACACCAAGGGTCATTTTATTTTATTTTTTTAAATATGTTTTTAATGAGCCTGGCCAGTGTGGCTCAGTGGTTGAATTGTCAACCCCATGCACCAAGAGGTCTCCAGTTCTATTCCCAGTCAGGGCACACGTACAGGTTGTAGGCCAAATCCCCATTTGGGGCATGCAAGAGGCAGACCAATCAATGTTCTCTTTCATTGATGTTTCTATCTCTCTCTCTCTCTCTCTCCCTCTCTAAAATCAATAAAGAAAAATTTTTTTAAAATATATTTTTATTCATTTTTTAAAGAGAGAGGAAAGGAGAGAGATAGAAACATTGATGTGAGAGACAGACATTGATTGCTGCCTTCTACATCCCCGGGGATCTAGCCCACAACCGTGCATGTGCCCTGATCGGGAATCAAACTGGGACCTCTCAGTCCATGGGACGTCACTCATTCCACTGAGCCACATTGGCCAGGCCCAGTGGTTGTTATTTTGAAATGTACTTTTTTAGACACTGCTTATAACTTTTATAATTTTATGCATATTAGTCAGTATAAATTGTTGATATTTTCCTGTAATAGTACATTAATTACTTTTAATCTTTGCTCTGTTTGTGGTTCTAGATTGGTTCATTCTGGCTCTGGATGTCGATCACCCTCCCTTGGTTCTGACCTTACATTTGCTACCAGGACAGGCTCTCGGCAGGGCATTGAGATGCATCTCTTCAGGGTGGAGACACATCGGGATCTGTCGACCTGGACCAGGATACTTGTTCAGGGTTGTCATGCTGCTGCTGAGCTCATCAAGGAGGTGTCTCTAGGTATGGATCCTGGCATTTCATTTCTAATAGTAATTAAAGGGAACTGTTGTTATACATAAAGTAAAAACCATTGTCATGTGTACCAGACTTTAAAATGTGCTGAAATGGCAGCTTAAAGTGATAATGATGGGAAGAAACCTGTTTTTTTTTTTTGTTTCAATAGCAAAGGTTTTCTGAGCCAGTACATAGCTCTGAACACATCATAAAACCCTCTGTACCAAACGGCAGTTTGTTTTGTTTGTTTGTTTTTCTTTCTTTCTTTCTTTAAATCTTCACCCGACGATATGTTTCTATTTATCTTCAGATAGAGTGGGAGGGAGTGGGGGAGAGAGAGAGGGAGAGAGAGAAAAATATCAATGCAAGAGAGACACATTGACTGGTCGCCTCCTGCATGATCCGAACCAGGTCCAGGGATGAACCGCAACTGAGGTACATGCCCTTGACCAGAATCAAACCCACAACTCATTGGTCTGTGGGCTGGTGCTCTAACCACTGAGCAAAACCGGCCAGGGCCCAGATGGCAGTTTTACTGTTCATCATTTTAAGTCATATGATAATATAAGGACTCATTTACCAAGTAGTAGATGCATTAACCCTCTAGTTGAGATTTGGAATATAAGATATGGATAGATACCCTTAAAATAAGAGCATCTGGCAAAGCTTATGGTTGCAGAAAAGTAATTTGAAATAGGAGTTTATCTTCAAAAGTTTGAAGATCTGCGCCCAATATTACTGAAATAAATTCTCAACCTGGGGGAGGCGACCCCTTTGGGGGTTGAACGACCCTTTCACAGGGGTCGCCTAAGACATAACAGTAGCAAAATTACAGTTATGAAATAGCAACGAAAATAATTTTATGGTTGGGGGTCACCACAGCATGAGCAACTGTAATAAAGGGTCACAGCATTAGGAAGGTTGAGAGCCAAGGAATTAATTCTGATGTTCTCTTCCTATTCTTGAAGCGCCCTCTTGTGGCTTGTCTATGTGAATTGGGATATGGTTTTATGTATACGTATAGAGTAAGTTTGTGCATGTGTTAGGTACCATATATATGTATAGATGTTTCCAGATTGCTTTTTTTTTTTTTAATAGGAACAGAACAGTAAAAATTAACATACAATTACAGTTTCTAATATAGTTTGGATTACTTTAAATGTTTTGGTTATAAGTTAGTTTACTTAATTTTGCTTCTTTTATCTATGATTTTATTTTATAAACCTAGTTTTACAGAATTTATATAAAAAGAGAAAATGTTTCAAGAGCAGAATGTCTTGTGATTTGTCTTTCTTTCTGTTGCTTTTTGAAAGTGAGGGAGCTCCATAGTTTGAGAACTGTATGGGGAGCATTTCTATGGGTCATCATCTAACATTGGAACGGGGACAGAGTTTTTTTTGTTTTGTTTTGTTTTGAATGTAATAAAAAATTTTTGACGCCCTGGCTGGTTTGCCTCAGCAGTTAGAATGTCAGCCCGCGGACCAAAGAGTTTCAGTTTTGATTCCAGTCAAGGGCACGTAGCTTGGTTGCAATTGAATCCCTAGCCCTAGTTGGGGTTGTACAGGAGGCAATCAATCGATGTGCCTCTCTCACATCAATATTTCTCTCTATCTCCCTCCTACTCTATCTGAAAATCAGTGGAAAAATATACTCAGATCAGGATTAAAAAAACAAAAAATGCTTTTATTGATTTTTTTGGAGAAAGAGGAAGGGAGTGAATGATAGAAACATCAATGTGAAAGAGAAACATCTATTGGCTGCTTCCTGCATGCCCCCTACTGGGGAATACAGTCCACATCCCAGGCATATGCCCTGACCAGGAATTAAACTGGGACCTCTCAGTCCATGAGATGGACGTCATTCAATCCACTGAGCCACACCGGCTGGGCAAGAGAGTTTTTTAATGTTGTCAGACGATGCAAATCTTCATCTGTTTAGGACCAGCTTCATATTTCCTTCACAGCCACAATGATGATTCAAGCAGTAACACCAGTGACTAGTAAGAACCCACTGTGGATTTTCACCAAAGCTACCACATCCACACTGTCTTCCTCATTTGTCTATCTTCTGTCTGTTTTCTCTGTGGAGTGGTTGGTCACCACATTAAGGACTATGTGGCTCTGGTTTTCTTCTTGACCACAGAATGTGCTTTCCGGGATGGGCCAGTCATCAGTGTGAAGGTCCGTGATGCTCTGTGTTCCCATGAGGAGCCTCTGTGTTCCTGTGAAGAGCTCATCAGACTCTTCACTGGCATCTGGGGTCATCATATCTTCTCCAAGGATCCAGAAAGATATGCTTCCCAAATAATGAGTACAACTTGGATTTTTAACATTCTTTAGTTTTAGGTTGTTTCTTTGGTGTCTGGCAGCTAAACTGCACATTGTAGGAAATCAAAATCTGTCTAGTCCATGGCTTACAGTTGTTTAAATAGAGATGGCTTAAGGAGAGGGAGAATAGGGACGGGCTGGTTCCTTATATTTTTAAGTAGACAAAAGAAAAATTTTTAGGTAATTTTGAACTTTTTTGTTCTCATTCATAGCTGTATTTTAATATTACCTTGGTAATACTTTCATTTTCACAATTCGGGTCAACTGGTGTACTGTAACTGTTAATCACTTACTCAGTATGTAGACCTGTGTCAGATATATTAAACTGGCTAAACATAAACCACTTTGATGAAAGTCAGTTTCTTTAAAATGTGTGTGTGTGTGTGCACATACTCGTGTATGTACACTTAGTTTATTAGGTGTTATGTGTATGCTTAGTGTGCACATACACTTTCACATATATACACACATATGCACATAAGACAAGCAAGTCCTTCAGATACATGTCAGCACTTTCTGTTCCATTGTTAGGAGAGTCAGAAGGGGTCATTGAAAACTATAATTGTGGCACATTGTATCACATATCCAGATATTCATGGCCTAAAGAAAGTTAGATAGTTGACAAAAAATCACTTAAGCTCTATTTTCTTGTCTCTTATGTGTTTTGGTTATAGATGATTCATTTAGAAAAATTTCAGTGACTACCTACAAGATTTGACTAGTGAATGTAATACATGATCTTCATAATGTTCATTTAGTTTTAAGCCTCTATTAGATTAGATTATAAGGCCTTTTTTCTTTTTTTTTTTTTTAATCTTTATTGTTGAATGTATTACAGATGTTCCTCATTTTTCCCCCATTGACCCCCACCTCCCCATTCCTGTCCCCCCTTCCGCCTTTTCCCACACTATTGTCTGTGTCCATGGGTTATGCTTATAAGTTCTTTGGTTTATTTCTCCCCCCCCCCCCCCCAACCCCTTTCCCTTTGAGGTTTGTCAGTCTAGCAATGAATTTGTACTTCTTAATCCCCTCACCTATTTCACCCATTCTCCCAACCCCCCTCTCATCTGGCAACCAACAAAATGTTCTCTGTATTTATGAGAATGTTTCTGCTCTGCCTGTTCATTTTGTTTGTGGATTCCATTGTCAATAGATATGTATTCATTGCCATTTTGTTTGTTCATATATTTTATCTTTTTCTTCAAAAAGACCCTTCATCATATCATATAACAACGGTTTGGTGGTGATGAACTCCTTTAGCTTTTTCTTGTCTGGGAAATTCTTTACATGGCCATCGATTCTAAATGACAGCTTTGCAGGATAGAGTAATCTTGGTTGTAGGTTCTTGCTTTTCATCACTCTGAATATTTCTTGCCACTCCCTTCTGGCCTGCAAAGTTTCTTTTGAGAAATCAGCTTACAGCCTTATGGGAACTCCCTTGTAGGGAACTAACGGCTTTTCTCTTGCTGCTTTTAAGATTCTCTCTTTGTCTTGAACCTTTTGCATTTTGATGATGATGTGTCTTAGTGTGGGCCTCTTGGGGTTCATCTTGTTTGGGACTCTGTGCTTCCTGGACTTGTATGTCTGTTTCCTTCACCAAGTTAGGAAAGTTTTCTGCCATTATTGTTTCAAATAGGTTTTCAATTTCTTGTTCTCTCTCTTCTCCTTCTGGCACCCCCAAGATGCGAATGTTGGCACACTTGAAGTTGTCCCAGAGGCTCCTTACACTATCCTCATTTTTTTGGATTCTTTTTTTTTTGCTGTTCTGATTGGGTGTTTTTTGCTTCTTTATAATCCAAATCAATGGTTTGCTTCTTGGATTTACGTACTCTACTATTGAATCTATGTCAATTATTCTTTATTTCAGTTAATGCCCCCTTCATTTCTGACTGTGCATCCATAATTTGGTCCCTTTTTTATTCTCTTGAGGCCCTCACTAAGTTCATTGAGCATCCTTATAAGCAGTATTTTGAACTCAGTATCTGTTAGGTTGCTTATCTCCATTTCGCTTAATTATTTTCTTGGGGTCTTTTTCTGTTCTTTCATTTAGGACCTGTTTCTTTGTCTCCTCATTTTGGCTGCCTCCCTGTGTTTGTTTCTGTGTATTACTTAACAAGCGGTATGGGGCTAGCTGAGACCAGATGCTGCTCGTTTGAAAGAATTTAGGAAAAACCTGAAGCAGGAGCCAAGACAGGCCAATCCTATGGTTAAGCAAGTGCCAACAGCTTGGGTGGGCCTGAAAGTTGGGTGGGGCGGGCCTCAGGGAGTCACCAGGGCGGGGCTACCAGTGTGAGCCAGGTTGCTGGAGTCCCAGATATGGCGACTGTCTGCCGCCCCAGGGCAGGGCTCACCAAAGGAACAAAGGCCTCTGACAGCACACCTGTCCAGGAGAAAGCCCCCTCTCCAGCCCTGCTCCAGTGCCAAACAGCTCAGTTCTTCCCTGTATGTCTCTGGTGCCCCTCAAGCTGCCTCTCCTCCAAGCTTAGAGGGAGTGAGTCCGATAAGTCCGTGCACGGGCCCTTTAAGGAGCTGCCTGGGGCTCCAGCCGCGTCAGCCTCCCTGAGCCTCAGTTCCCGATGGTTTTTTCAGCCAGAAGTTATGGGGGCTTCTCTTCCTGGCACTGGAACCCTGAGTAGGCGTCTGGTATGGGATGGGTACCCCTCAGTCCTCAGGGAGGAC